CCCCAATTAAAGCCATAAATCATCAAGGAAATTCTTTTATATAGCTATGAGGTTCCTTTGTTATGGTAAAAAACATCTAACATAAAAGGTATCATCTTAACCTAAGTGCACATTTCAGTAGTGTTAAGTACACTCACTTTGTTGTGCAGCCAATTTCCAGAACTTTTTAATCTTGCAAAACTGAAACTCTATATCCATTAAACAACAATTTTCCATTTTCCAGTCTCCCTAGTCCTTAGCAAAGCACCATCTTACTTTCTCCTTTAATGAATGTGACTCTTCTAGATACCTCAAATAGATACAATCATACAATGTTTGTCTTTTGTGACTGGCTTATTTCACTCATCATAATGTCCCCAGGGTCCATCCATGTTGTAGCATGTGTCAGAATTAGCTATGTTTTTTAATCTTTTTAATAAATTTATTTTTCTTATTTTTAATATTGAAGTATAGTTGATGAGAATTAGCTATTCTTTTGAATAAATACCTCACACTACACATAGTCTTATTTTTTTAAGTTTATTTATTTATTTTGAGAGAGGCAGAAAGAGTACGAGCAGGGGAAGAGCAGAGAGAAAGGAAAAATCTCAAACAGGCTCCATCGTCAGCACAGAGCCCAACTCGGGGCTTGAACTCACAAAACTGTGAGATCACAACCTGAGTTGAATTCAAGAGCTGGATGCTCAACTGAATGAACCACCCAGGTGCCCCTTCTTTATTTTTTTAAATAGAAGAACCACAGTTGAATGTTAAATTCAGAGCAAATTCCTTCAATCTTGACATTAAAAATCCTTAGCTAGCAGCGGAGAAGTTACCATTTATAACCAGTAGATGGCACTGTAATGATGGAAATGGTCATTTAGTTATTATTAAATATTTGATAATAACTTTTAATAGGAAGTCATATTAGTCATTAGATTACAGCAGCAACAGAAATCATTCACAAAATATCTGTTATGCCTTTGGTTTAGTATATGGTATGTTTACATTCTGGTTAGGAATTTTCAAATTCCTGTATACTTTCATACAGCAAAGCTATAATTTCCCATTTATTTAGGTGATGTATTTTTTAAATAATATACAACCCCCTACTAGACTTCATGACATCACAGGAACCATATTTGTTTTACTCTCTACTGTATTTCCACTTTCATCAAATAATTCAATAAATATTTGTCAAGCGCATGGGTGAATAGTTTACGGTCGCACATAAGCTTTTAACTTATTGTAAAGTGTACCTTAAATTTTTAAAGATTCTTGTAAGTATGTAAAATATTCAGTTAAACTTACCATGATCTATATACTTCATAATACAAATCTAGAAATTCATTTCCTCTAAACCAAAAAGGATGGACAAAATGAATGCCTTACACAGATTATTAGTTAGCCTCTTCATAAAAAAGACCATAGTTCTGCATCTTCTCAACCAACGATGTAGCGTATTCAATATCTCACTGGATCTCACTTTAATATTCAATCTATTACTAAATTCTCTCAGTTTTTCATTCACAATGATTTCTTAAATGCTCTAATCCTCCATTGCACTTTGAAATGGCAGTGTTGTATCCAAGGCCTTCATCAGCTATTGAGTGGACAACTGTTGTAGCCTCCTGACTAACTTTCCTTTCCTCCAGATTCCAATCTCACCCTTATGCTGTTACCTAAGTGGTTACCAGTCTTGTCATATACATTTCCTGCTCAAAAACATGCAATGGCTCCTGGTACATTCAGTATTTCTCTTTTAACATTTAGCATAGACTACAGCATTTTAAATATATTTATGAACATATAGAACATTCCATGCAAAATCTGAAAATATAATAGGATAGAAAACTATATTTATTATTCTTTGCGTATAAATGGATATTTATTAATGTCTAAAGGTGATACTATCACAGTTGTAGAAATGACATAGTCTAAAACATAAGAAATGACAACAATTCAACCAAGTTCTTATTCCTAAAAGATCCTAAAATGTTTAATATTTTCCTTCTGATTTGGGCAAATCTTGGCAAAGAGAAATGATTATATGTCACTATGTTTTGTCCAGTATTCCAATATGAAATTAATCTTTGTAGCACAGGAATCCCCCAAGAAGTATGTCCGTCTGTTTGTCACCATATCGTTTTATCATATGGCTGAGGGAGGGGGGACTCTTAGGGAGGAGTGTGTGTGTAAACATATTTTGTGAGGTTTGTTTGTTTTTATTTGAGAGAGACAGAGCAGGAGAGAGAGGCAGAGAGAGAAAGAAAAAGAATCTTAAGCAGAGCTTAAGCCAATGCAGGGCTCAATCTCACAATCTTGGAATCATGACCTGGGCTGAAATCAAGAGTCAGACACTCAACGGACTGAGCCACCCAGGCACCCCAAACCCATCTTGCATTTAACACTCATTAACACTCAGGCCAAGATGAAGAAATCACCCATCCCAAAGCCTCACCTACATCGTTCTGGGCAAGTCTTTGGCGTTTTGAACCATCCAGATTGGCCATTTCGATCACAGACTGCTTGGCATCACACCAATACAATTTGTCAGTTAAGTAATCAATAGTTATTCCACTGGGCCAGACCAGATCCGAACTAGCTATAACCAGTCGGCCAATGCCTTGAAGGGAAGAACTTTCAATTCGTGGATTAATCCCCATATCAGTCCAGAATAATCTCCTTTAATCAAGAAAGCATACAACAAATAAAATTTGCATGAAAAAAAGCTTCCATTCTTTCATCACTGAAAATGTCAATGTAAATCACTTTAGATAGAATAAACTGAAGTGGTACACTAAGTAACATAGAGAATATAGCAGTGGACATTGGAAAAATAATTCTCAATAGCAAAAATTATCTTTCCTTGTAAAGCATCTTGGACAGGAAATGCTGTATTAAGGCTCAGGTCATTGGATAAAGAAGAAATTATTAGTTTGAAAAATTGTACTATATTACTAATTGAAAGTGTGTTCAAGAGCATATTCTTAAATTAGTGTTTCATGCTGCAAAAGGCAATAAAATCTTGTTAGCTTGTCCCTCTGCCATGCATACATAAACTCACTATATATGTTAAATTACAACATAAAGGGAATGGCATATTTATCTGTTATCTAGTTTTATACAATGTACTCAGCTGGTCAATTTTAAGTTCCATAAATCAGATGCTGAGGTGCATTTTTTGTGGTCAGTGTGTTCATTACCTTTTATGCTGGTTAGTTTGGAGATGGTTATAGTCCTACTTTTTTAATCATATGGCTGGCTCCAAATCAATTATCAATTACTACCAGCCTATTATTTTCCATAGACCATTGTAACATTGTCACTCAAGCAAAATAGGGTTAGTTTTTTTTTTCTTAAATAGTTTATTGTCAAGTTGGTTTCCATATAACACCCAGTGTTCATCCCAAGTGCCCCGCCCCCATGCCCATCACCTCCCTTCCCTTTTCCCCACCCATCAGCCCTCAGTTTGTTTTCAGCATTCAAGAGTCTCTCGTGGTTTGCCTCCCTCCCTCTCCGCAACTATTTTTCCCCTTCTCTTCCCCCACAGTCCTCTGTTAAGTTCCTCCTAATCCACCTATATGTGCAAACATACGGTATCTGTCCTTCTCTGCCTGACTTATTCTGCTCAGCATAACACCCTCAGGTTCTATCCATGTTGCTACAAATGGCCAGATTTCATTCTTTGTCATTGCCATGTAGTATTCCATTGTATAGATAAACCATATCTTCTTGAAAAATAGGGTTGGTTTTTAATCCTTTTGTTTTAACAACTAGGAAGGAAATCCATTATTCTCCTTAATTCTCTAAACCTAAACCACCATCTGTCACCAATGTCACTAAATTCACAATTAAAAACATAGTCTTCTAATATTTTATGATTTCTACTTCCACATGTCTAAATCTAGGAATAACCTATCATTTGAACTCATCTTATAATTTTTCTAAATATAATTCATAAGCCATGTAATCTAAATACCATCCTCCACTCGGGAAAGCAATAATGTAGAGTTTTAAAGAAAGTAGTTTAATGGGCTTGTGTCTAATTGATTAATGAATTACAGCGCACTCCTTTTTTTTAAAAAAATTAAATTTGCTTAAAATGAAGGTTATCTGAATAATGAAGCCTGTAAGTATGAATAGAAAGTCAAAATCCATTAAAAAGATGAGAAAGTTATAGCTATGATAATAACTAGCTATATCATTTCTGAAAATTTGAACAAATCGCATGGGTTTTTCTTGACTTCTGATTTCACTGAACACTTGAAGTATTAAGACAAATTTTGGACACTAGTATATCAAACATGAACTGTCTCATGACCTCTATGGGAAAGTGCCTTATTTTTACAAATACTTACTTGGCCATTGGATGAACAGCAATTCCTCGTGGCTGAGAGATGTCCTCCTTGATGATTATTTCACGATGCTTTCCATTTAAATCACTCCCTTCAATGACACATTTCCTAAAATGTATGTAATATAAAGGAGCTTGTTACATAAATTTTACTTCTCTTTTTAAGTTTATTTATTTGTTTTTAGAGAGAGTGAGCATGAGTGGGAGAGGGGCAGAGAGAGAAGGAGAGAGAATCAGAAGCAGGCTCTGCATTGTCAGCACAGAGCCCGATATGGGGCTCAAACCCCCAAACCCCACGATCACAACCTGACCGAAATCAAGAGTTGGATGCTTAACCAACTGAGCCACTCAGGCTCCCCTACATCAACTTTACTTTTTATACAAAAAAATCTCCTTTTCTCTGTTACTTACTGAAATGCAAAGATAGGCATTCTAAACTACCTCCATCACATACGCACACACGCACGCACACACATACACACACAGGTCAGGACACACACCCATGAATTCTACTTTTCTTAAACAGCCTTTTAGTTAGCATCCCAATGTTTATCTCGTGCGTTTAAAACACACAGTGAAAGGATAAGGTAAGAAGGGATGGTGTCAGGAGCCTGGCAGGGACAAAGCCAGTGGTGCAAATACCACCAACCCCTTTTCTTCACAGCCTCCCAGCTCCGTCTGAACCCAGCGAAAGCCAGAGGAGAGGATCTGTCAGCTTCGTGGCCATAGGTCACGGGAAGGAGAGAGAGGAGGCCTCAAAGGGCCACACAGACAGCCAGCACAAGGACAGTGGGGAGAGATTTATACTGACGTAATTTTCTTCCATATGATTCTAAGACAAGTAGGAGTACTGAAATATTATTTGCTGTTCTTTACATTAAAAAAATAATAACCTTTGGAATCTGGCAGGGGAGAAAAATCCTTGTTTCCTCATTTTTCCATTGATTTGTTAAACAGACTTTATGGTCAGATAAATACTGAGCACCTACTGTGTGTCAGGGATTGGCCGAAGCATTGGAGACAACAGTAAACAAAACCTTGTCTTTGTCCTTACAGAGCTTAGAGTTCAGCAAGAGAGGGAGAGAGAACTATAGCATGGAGAGTATAAAGAATGCAATCGGCGGACTCGAGGCAGAGGCTTTATTGCAGCACACTTCCACCCCGCGCACTAATCCGGGCTTCCCAGCAGCACCCAGGAGGAGGCAGAACCGCGGGCAGAGGGGATAAGAAGAATCACCCCTCCCCACCACATGCTGTGTGCTCAGCCTTTTCCCTACTGCAAACCAGAGTATAATTATCTTTAATTCGTTCAACAAACACCTGGAAAGGCCTACTTCTTGTTCTCGTGGGCAATGTCTGCATGAAACAGGCCTGCTCAGAAACACAGGGAAGAACTACTCTCTCTTCCCTGTTCTGCTAAACACTAAGGAAATCTCTGTGTGGTTTATTCGAGTGCACTTTCTAGCCACTCGGTCAGGAAGGGGCTTCATACATTCCCCCTCGCAGGTTATATGAAGGAGAGAGGCAGAGCTAAAACTGGCTCAGGGCCTGTGCTGGTCAAGTACAACTCAAGGCAGTGGATAATTTGAAGCCATATGTACTCCAGGGCCACTTTTAAAAGATAATTCTATTCCCAGATGAAGTGATAGTCGGAAAGGTACTGCTGCGTAGAAGGTATTTCTGAACTCAATGTGTCAAATTCACTCAATCACAACTGTCACTGTCACTGTCCCTTGGTGGGAGGGAAGGAATTCTGAGGCCACTTCCTTGTGACCAAGGGAGATAAAGCTGTCAGTTCTGATCTCACTGGTACGTCATCTCTAAATTCTTACTGTTTTGAGCAGGAGTGAAATGATGAGAATCAAGACGGACATAAGCTCCTGACCCTGGAGCTGTCTTAGGCAAGACTGCTGGAATTTACTTTCAAAGCTCCCCAAGGGGTTCACCCAATAATAGACCTCTATTTGATTCAGCCGGGAAGCAAATCTCTAACTCCAGTGTTGGTGATGGGAAAGGAAAGACAAGGACGGACATTTGGGTGCACAGGAGTTCGAGCATGACCCTTTACCCAGTGGAGCATCGCTCTCTTTTATCCACTATCTAATTGGTCTCCTTGCCACTGGGTTCCTCCAAAACCCACCCTATTTCCCAGATAGGAGTTGTTCATCCAGAACCATAGAAGATCAATTTATACCTCATGATAGTTTTTGTTACCTCAGGAGAAGAAGCAAACATATTATTTTTACCCTCCTGATTCATTTTTTGAATGGGACTTTGACTTCCAGAATCAGGATTCCTTAAATGTTAAATAATAGCATTGCCATTGGAATGATCAATTAGCTTCCTTCCTATGTTTAGATGATAATTTGAATCTGTCTTTTCCTCCGCCAATATAAACTGTAAGCATCCACTCTGGTTCTTTTAATTGGTTAAAAGTTCACATATAATCTAATTTCATGAACTTGGAATCTCAGTTATTTAAAATCCAATTTCTAGCTAATATCAAGGTTTTCAAGCTATAAACCTCTCATTTCCAGACAAATTAAAGGTTTTCTTGTAACAGCTGCCTTTAGAAGGAAGAGGACTTAGAAGGGCTTGTTATTACGGAAGGCAACGAACTAGGAAATTTGAGGTCTGATTTTCCAGGACACGGAGGTGTGTGACGATCTCCTGAAGGCATCGCCTTGTTGTAGGTACCACGGGGCTATTAATCAAACACTGTTAAAATTAAAGGTGCCATGCACATGTGGGAAATATGAGGAGACCCGGCATCCTCACAGAGGCCAAGAGCGGCTGACATCTGCTGTCCTGATCAACGCTTACCCTTCTGAGAACAGCCGTGTACAAGCTCTGTTATTATGCACAGCTGACATTTTAAAACGTCCTTTCAAGTAGGTTCAACACAGAGGAGGCTGTTATTATGATTTTTATCATCACCACAACTGAAATTCGAGATCTACTTCTTGCTGGCTGCTTGCCATTGGGAGTGTTATTTTACATCTTTCATTCTCAATGTTTTAATCTTTAAATTGGGGACAAGAAACCTCACCTTTTTCAACGGTGTCACGGATATAAAGCTCTTAGCACAGTGTCTGATGCACTTTAGTGATTCAATAAAAAAATGTCCAAAGAATAAAGTGTTATGTTTAAGTGAGTGAATGAATGAATGAATGAAAATATATTTACCCTGGATATAAAGGTGCCATATTATTGATAACTATACACCATTCCATACATCTGACTCATTTATAGAACACCATTTGTTTCCCATGGATTATCCAGAGGGAAAAGATTTTCTGGAACATAAAATACCTACTCCCAAGCATATAAACCCGTTCCTTGGGACTAGGAAGAAGTTCTGTGTTGGGACCACTGATTTCATAGAGGTGAAATACTAATTAATTCTATCTTCTTTTACTCTGTACGCATAGATACAGATATTCAGGTTGGCTACCATTACACTTTATGGCTTTAAAAAAACATCCTAGAGCACAGAGCATTTCAATACCATTCTGTGACAGCTGCCTGTGTTCTCTGGTTAGCAACCTGTCTCAGAAGCAACGACTGGGCTCTCATGAGCACACCTAAGAGACACAGCCCCTTCCCCCATGACATCCCCCATCCCCTCCCTACCTGGCCACATTCCCAGGGCTCACACAGGTCACACACACACCAAATGCAGCTGCCACTCCTGCTGTGCCCAGAGGGCAGAAACATCACAGTTTCTCTCTAGTTCTGTTCTTTCCCACGTAAGGGAAAGTAGACCATCTCTTCAATCTCATGGGTACTCTCCTCACAACTCCCACATGAAGCCCTGCTCCCTCCTTCATGTTTATTAACAGGGAGCCAGCATGTGGATCTTAGTCTGTAAAATGAGAGGGTTGGGCTAGTTGATCCCTGAAGCCCCTTCCATTGCTCCCTCTGGGTGTGTACACCCCTCATTTGGAAATTATTTATGCATGGCCTTACTTGTACATCTCTTGTACTGATACGTAGACCAAGCATTTGTACTGGTTTTGCTGTGTACGTGTGCCTTAGGTCCCTGGATGAACTGTAAACTGACCACAAAGATGGACAGTTTCTCACGCTCCTATGCATTTTCCTCATTACCCAGGACAGGGCTTTAGCCATAGCAGGTGCTCAAAGGATGCCTGTTGAGTGCATTCAGACAGGCTTTGCATTTCTTTGATTACCACAGCCTGAAGTGCAAAAACACATGCTACTTTCTTGGTTCTCATAATTCTCCCTTGGATACAGATCCAGTCTTGATGAAAAGAGGAACATCCTGCTTGGTGGTGTGGGGGGAGTGAAGGGAATATGGACGGCGTTAGGGGCATTTTCCCTCCAGTCCCAGCCAAGTGCCCAGCAATATTTTCTTGAGTACGAAGTGGAGGATGAGGCCAGCAGCATTACCTATGCCATCACTCCCATCCCTCGTAGCTTAAAACTGAAGGTGGAAGCATACCCTCTGTCTGTCCAGTAGAATTTCCGATCAATCCAGTCTATGGCAAGACCTTCTGGCACATCTACTGCTTCCTCAATAAGCCTTTCTCGCTGAGAACCATCCATATTAGCTCTCTCTATCCACTTCAGGGCTGTATGGGCAAAATATATCTACAAAAAAGAACACAGGCATTTCTCTCTGATTTCCTTTTAAAAAAGTAACGTGGAATATATACAAATGCAGTTGGTAACCTTCAGATCATACAGTGTAATCATTAAGAGCTTGGCTTTGGAGATAGACACACCAACAACGGAATTCCACCTCTGCTGCTTCCCAGATATGTCCTGTTAATTCAGATGTGTGCACTGCTTCCTCAGTGTCTTAGACTCATTGGTTAAATGGGGATAATAATACCAAATGCATTATCATACATATATATGTGAATATATATGTATATATGTGAATATATACGTATATATGTGAATATATATGTACATATATATGTACATTATGTGCATATATATAAAAAACTCCTTAGCCCTGTGCTTGACACAATTTCTATTGCTGCTTGGTAGTTTATTAATCTTTGATCATTGGTTAATAACAAAGCCATTGCACTTGAACTCTAATGGCTTCTACAGCCTGAAAGGGTGCTACTTTCAGATGAGCACCTGAAAGCTGGCTGTGTCTTCTACTGCTCAATTCACAGCCCTGCACTGTACTCCAAGTAGGGAGACACAGGTTCCTCCCTCGGTTTTGGCCCTTATTTACCTCATTGTGCTGACCAAGTCATTTGACCTCAATTTTCTCAAGGGTAAAGATGACAAAGTTAGACTAGATATTTGCTAAAGTTTCTTTTACCTCTAACCATATTTAATTTCATTTTAATCCGCCTTGTTCAACAGAACATACCTTGCAGGTGCAAAGCTCTCTTTCAGTCTACTATGCAGACTATCAAACAGGCACAAGAATTTTGTGAGAGTGTTAAAAACTGCCATGAGTCAGCTGACAATTTAATGACAGCATGTGTGTAATTTTAGCCATGAGTGCATATGTGTGCATAAACCTGTAATCAATGATGAGAATGCTCATAAACATTCATTATCTAATGAGTTATCATCTTTCAAGATAAAATAGAAAAGGTTCTATTCCATAACACAAAAATGGGGACTTCTTATATTAAAAAACACTAAGCTAGAGCTCTTTATCTCAAATTCAAATGTGCACATGAATCGCCTGGATCTTGTTAAAATGCAGATTCTGATTCAGGGGTCAGGGGTGGAGCCTGGAAATCTGCAATTCTAACAAGCTCCAGGTGATGTTGATGCTGCTGGTCCAAGGACCACAGTTTAAAAAGCAAAAAATGAGAACTGGACCAGAGAGATGAA